GAACTCGGGGTCCTCTTCACTCGCCACCCCTCCTCCCCACAACTCTTATTTGCCCTAAGTGTGGTCTTGTCCCCTAAAACTAGCTCATTTCCTAGTTCCCCTGTTTCCATCAAAAGCTCTCTTCTTCCTGTTGCCAGGGAGACCCAGCTTGTAGCGTATCTACCCAGGGTGAGAGGTCCTTGGCTTTGCGTAGAAGAATTCAAGACCAGCCTCTGAGGGAGAGTGAAAGCAGATTTATTTGGGAAAGTGCGTATCGGGTGCAGCAGCCCTGTGAGGGGAGAGGAACGAACAGTTCCATTCCTGCCTCTAGGAGGAAAGGGGAACTGTTACTCAAAAGGGAAGGTAGGAGGACCCCCCATAGGGCAGCCCCAAACTCCAGTGGGGGCCTGGCTTATACATGGCCGGGCTGAATGCCAGGCTAAGTGAGGGGTCATTTACTCATGAGCTTTCCAGGAAAGGGAACCACTGTCCCTTCCGTTTCCTGGCCTTCCTAGGGTAGTTCCGGTCATTGCCACGCTTACTCCAAACTGTCTCGGCACACAGTCATCTAGCATGCTTAACCGCGCAGTGAGGGGCCAGTGAGTCCGAAGGTTAGGCAGCGGCCATTCCAGGGGCCATGTGGTCACCACTGACTCAGACCCATCCTCTCAGACTTCTCGTCTAGCAGGACTTATCGTTTGCTCTTAGGTGTGGGGAATCTCTCTCGCCCCAGTTAATAAGACTGGGAATCTGCCAGTCATTTTTAACTATTCTTTTCTCTATATTTCCAATCAATGAATCCTGTTGAATTTTATTTTTAAATATCTTATTATTAGGACTGGGCAGTGGCACGGTATAAAGTGAGAGACTCTGGAAGGCTGAGCCCCGGGGAGGGTTCTGGGGGTGTGTCCAGAGACCTCCCTGAGTGTGCTAGTACACGCAGGCATGCCCGTGTTCTGGTGCTGGCTGCGCCACGGGGCCTCTGTTCATGCGCTGTCTCTCCCTTTCACTCATGAAAGAAATAAATATACATTTTTATAAGTGAGAGACGTTAGCTTCTGGGAAGGACAGATAAACATTCGGGTGCCAGCAGCCTCGGAGCACTGCTGGGCACCAGCCTCCTGCCCCTCCCTGCCTCTGACTGCCTCGGCCCGCCAGGAGAGAGCTAGCACGCTGGTGAGACCGCGTAGCCATCAGACGAGTGTGTGGCCTCGCTCTTTCACGTGTTCTGTGTGTGTTGTTTCATTTATCCCTCATGAAACCCTTATAGATCAGATGGCTTCATTACCCTCATTTTTCATATTAGGTCGTCAGGGAAGCCAGGACGTATTTTTGTTTGTTTGTTTTCCTATGCAAAAATGCATCAAGACTTTCTTGACGACCCAATAGATGAGAAAACCGAGGCATGGAGCTGTTAAATAACACATCTGAGATGGCACAGCCAGCAAGCAGGCCGTAGGACCGGGTTTTTACACACCGGGGACCGGACGCCCGAGCCCAGACTCCTAGCCACTGCATCACGTTACTTCGCTCTGAAGTACCAGTGTCACCACATCACACTCTTCCTCTGCTCAAGACCCTTCAATGGATGGCTCCCTTCTGCCTATGGGAGTTCAAGTCCCTCCTCTGGCATGAAAGCTTCTGAATGGCTTGTTTGGCTCTCCCTAGCCGGCAAGCGAGTTAATGAACTTTGTGAGGTCTCAATCTCCTTTATTAGTTGAGGGTGATAACAGGAACTCCGTCGCGAGGCTATCACGAAGACTAGACAGTCACCCAGGTAAACACACAGTGCAGCTCAGTGCCCAGCACGCAGGGACAGTGGCCCAGGGCTTGCTCTCATTTAGTTACCTTTGGACCCCAGTGCTTACAGCTTCCTTGAAGGAGTCCCTTCACCAGGGTGTTGCTGCAGGTCAACCGTGCTGCTGCTGCACAGAACGCAGATCTGACTTTTCCCTCCCTCCTTTCCCCTCCGCCATGTGCAAACACATCCAAATCCTCCCGTCCCCCACTCTCTCCCAGCCCCCACACACTCATCCAACCTTCGGAAACATTGAGCCCCACCGTACTTCTTTTCCACACCGCCATTTGTTTAATCATGTGTTAAATATTTATCAAGTGTCTGCTCTAATAATAACAATGACTGCATTTAACTTTATACGCTACAAAGGGCTAAATGTCCCAACTCTGTCTATAAACCTTCACAAAAGCTTTGGAAGAGGTTCCCGGTTTAGGGCTGCTCTAATGTCACCAGCTGTTGCATGTCAGAACTAGGGACCCTGGGGGACACGAAGGTGACACCGACAGGACCCCCTCTTCAGGATGCTGACAGCATAGTAGGGGAAGCAAGGTCTTTCCAGGTTTGGTGTCAATCCAGGCCGACAGTGGCCAGACCTGGGGGAGGCATGAGAGTAGGTGCAGGCAGTTTGAGCCTCGGGCCTGGCGGACCCACACTGCAGCAGACAGTGCCTGCGGCAGATGGGAACTCCTGGGTGTGGGAAACCAAAGCTGCTGGTGCTGCTGTCAGGGGCCTCCCCAGGAGATGGTTGCTGCCTTAAGGAACAGAAAGAGCAGGGCCGAGAACCCTGGGTGGCCATCTTCCCAGCTAAGGGAAGTGGCCGGCGCTTCCCTGGGTTGTCCTCTTCAAAGAGCAGCTGCAAGCCACATGGCATCGCTCCTGATTCCAGTGGGTGTCCTGAGGGAGACACCTGACTGAACCGTGACAGTGTTGAGTCACTACACTACGGGATTTCACACTTTTTAGATGATGAGCTGGCTTGTTTTAGTGTGCTCGCTGCTTTCCTCCCTGGGGCAGAGCTGACAGGGCCCACTCCCGAGCAGCCTGGGGCGGGGAAGCAGCATGGCCACCGCTCCTGAGGATCTGGGAGGGCACGTGCCTAAGGGAGGGGCGGGAAGCCCTCGTCTTATTGGCTGCACGTGAACAGGGACATTTTCCATTTCCTTCCTCCACATCCTCATCCTTTCATCACGTAGTCACAGCTGTAATTCCTTACACAACAGAAGTGTCTTGGAGACTGTGGCCACATCTAGCAATGTTACATAAGCATTTTACCTTTTGACCTAGAAACTTTGCTTCTAGGAATAAATACTAAAGACCCACAATCAAAAATTCAAAGATGAGAGACCAGTAAGTGTCGTCATAAGGCGCTGGACTCTCATGTGGTCGACTACAGTTTGAGTCCCAGACCTGGCAGCCTGAAACTCACACCAGGCTGTGTGTGCATGCCTCGAATCCCAGGAAGAGAGTAGAAGGGATTGTGGTAGGCCATCCCCCCAGGTGTGTGTGTGTGTGTGTGTGTGTGTATGTGTGTGTGTGATTTCTTGTTTCCTGTCTCTCTGGCAAGCATACACACACTATAGCAAAAATCTCTCTCAAATAAAATTCACAATAGTAAATAAATTAGTGTACATATTATTGCAGTCCTATTGGTAGTGGAAAAAGACTAGAAACAACCCAGTGTCCACCAGTAGGGACTAGGGGAATTACACAATGGTGCATGCACACATTGGAGCTCTATGGAGTTGCAAAAGGAAATGAAGTGTTTCTATACTGCTCTGCAGTGATCAGCAGGATATAGCATTATGGGTAAAAACCAGGTGAAGGAAATTATTACAACATGCTATCACTGAAGGGGGAAATATAAAAACTATGTATAAAAGGAGGCAGAACAGAGTGAGAGGACTGGGATCCAAGCTAGATTCTTCTGAATAGATCTTAATTTTTAGACTCACTTTGGAAGTGTGTAAATATTTTAGAAAAATCCTAAAACAAAATTTGATTTAACAAATGAAACAAGGGAAGTTATTAAGTGGATGGCATAACTGTACAGTGAGAAACTATTGCAAATGATCTTAAAACTCAGAAATTTGACTGTACATTCCTAACAGAATGTCCCCTACAGACCAACCCAGAACAAATGAAAACACCTTGCAAAATATCTGAAACTATTTTCAGTCATGAACTGTGAAATGTGGTAGAGTTAGTATTGTTATTCTAAGACGGTTTTGTACATCTTGGGATAGAGCAATGAGTAATTATGTTAGTTTTTTAAAAATTATTTATTATTATGTATTTTTAAATTTGACCGAAGAGAGTGAGAGCAAGAGAAAGGGAAAGTGAGAAAGCAAGCCACCAGGTCCAGGACTCGAATCGTGGTTGTCTACATGGGAGTCTAGCACCTTAACCACCACATCACCTGCTGGCCCTTATGTTAGTTGTTTCTAAAACCGGGCTATTTGACGTGGGAGAAAAGAGGTAACTATAAAGTTAAATAGAAAGCCTTTAGTCCTAAATTTGAGATGGAAATATCAATAAAATTTCATAAACTATTTTCTTAAAACAATTATTTCTAGGGACCAGCAGTTGGCATAATGGCTATGTTGCTGGACTCCCATGTAGTTGACCGCGGTTCGAGTCCCAGACCCGGTGGCTTAAACTCACGCCAGGTGCGTGTGCATGTGTGCCTAGGATCCCAAGAGGAGAATGGAAGAGAAGGGACTGCGGCGTGGTCATCCCCCTTGAGGGGTGATTTCTCACTTTCTGTCTCTCTGTCTCTTTCTGGCGAGCACACATGCCTTATAGCAAAAACCTCTCAAACAAATTATTTCTAGAAACCATCATCAATTTAGGAGCAAGCATTCCTTGCACACAGAATGTAGTCTCTCAATGTCATTTACTGAAAGGAACCAAGGTTCTTCGGGAAAATGACTGCTTCCGGTTCTGGACTCCTGGAAAGGAAGTGTACAAGGTGAGCCTAGATCACTGTACTACACACCAGATTAAAAACTATCGAGGACATGTAGGCCATAGTAAAAGGACTCAGGAGGCAACTTAAAGAGGATTCCTTCAAGAGGAGATCATTCAAGTATCAATAAGAATTATGAGTCTTCAAAAAGTTCTCGGAAAAGGTGGATTATAAAAAATGACACATTGATTTTGAACTTTTTGCACAGAATTAAGTTCATACTTTAATTCTGTTTTTCTATGAACATTTTTTTTAAAACAGGGGAAAGCGTCAACACACTCCCGCACTCCCACAAATTATGCAGTTGGATTTCCCACGTTTGGGGAAATCTCAGGGGTCAGCATATCCAGAGTGCAATGGCCCAGCCTCGCCCTGGGAAAACCACCTTCGTGATCACGGTGTCCCCTGCCAGGTAAGTACGTGTTTTTCCACGAACTTTTTGAGATCCTTTTGCATACCTACAATGGATTGGCACTCATTAAATATGTTTAAAACCATGAATTCATAATTACGCACACACACACACATTATTGTTGTCAAAGGGCAGACATACTCACTGGAGAGAGAGACAAAGGAGAGGAAGAAAGCACCCCTCAATGGGACATAGTTACACCTCAATCCCTTCTTCATTTCTCCACCCTTTCAGGATTTGGGTCACACATACACACATGCCCTGCATGCTTCTTAAGCCGATGGAGCTGGGGCTCGAACGGCCATGGGAAGTGGCCACTGGGTTGGCCCATCATGTTATTTTTAAATGAAATGTATTGGTCACCTTTGGTAGGTTCTAGGAATGGCCACTGGCTGCCCCATCATATATTTTTAATAAAATGTATTGGTCACCTTTGGTACATTCTAGGGATCCAGTCACTTTTTTGAATTGTTAAATAAAGAAGTGATTATCGAATCTTTCCAATGATAAATATATCTTAGTTTAACCAGATAGGTGATAATGGGAAACTCTTGTTTTTGGATGTATTACAGCTACTCAACAAAAAAGAATGAAGAATGAAAATATCACCAATTTGGAATATCCCATGAATTAATGGACCTGAATGCTAACCATCAATGACTGTCAAAAGACAAATAGCCAAATATTAATATTACAACTATTAGTTGCCTTCTGATGAAAAGCATCAGTCTCATTATGAAGTAGTTTGGCCAAACTGAAAAATCAGAATCGAATCAACTCTATATCCAACACTAGTTTACAGGAAATGCCCAGGGTGAGGAATTTGTACCACTTGTACCAATGAACAAATCACCAAAATTTGGAGTGTGAGCAAGTCCATGAGATAAATGACCCACCTTCTACAAATTAATCACAAGGAGGAGAAACCTATTGAGTAAAAGGGACTTAACGAGCATATTGAAATATCTATGGATGAAAATGATATTATGAATAATCCAGGGAGAGATTAGTGAAAAAAATAAGATTAGCCATAAAGTAATTATTAAAGCTGGATGATAGGATCATCAAGTTCATTATACTATTCTCTCTCTCTCTCTTAATTGCTAGAGGGTGTGTGCACTTGCCAGAGAGAGAGAGAGGAAGAGAAAGTGCCTCCCATGGGCCATGGTCACACCCCAGTCCCGTCTCCTCCAGCTCTCCCTCCTTTGGGGATTTTGGGCATACACGCACAAGGGCCCAGCATGTTTCTCAAGATGCAGGATCTGAGACTCTTACCATGCTGCCAGCCATGTGGAATCTGGCTGCTTTAAGCACTACGCCACAGAGCCAGCCCTATTCTCTCTCTCTCTCTCTCTCTCTCTCTCTCTCTCTCGATTTTTGCTGTAGGGTTCGTGCACTCACCCGAGAAACAAAGGGACAGAAAGCAAGAAATCACTCACCAAGGGGAATGGCCACACCACAATCCCTTCTCCTCCAGTTTCCTTTCAGCATTTGGGGCATGCGCGCACACATACCTGGTGTGAATTTCAAGCCTCCAGGTCTGGGACTCATACTGCCGTCAGCCATGTGAGAGTCCAGCGAGGTAACCATTACACCATCTGCTGGTTCCCATTTTCTCTCTTTTTATGTCAGAAATTTTCCATAATAATACAAAATTATGTAAATAAATAATAAAAAGTGATGAATCCACAGAGATCCTTAAGAAAAAAAAAAGGGGGGGGGAGGAGTACCAGCAGGTGACGTAATGATTAAGGCATTGGACTCCCATGTGATTAAGCGTGGATCAAGTCTTGGATCCAGTGGCTGGGAATTCATGCCAGGCATGTGCGAGTGCATGCCCAAAATCCCGAGAGGAAAATGGAGAAGGAATTGTGGAATGGCCATTCCCCCAGCAGGTGATTTCTTGCTTTCTGTTTCTCTGTCTCTTTGGCAAGCGCACATGCCCTATCGCAAAAATCTCTCAAAAAATCAATTAAGAAAAGGAAAAAGGACATTTGTTGAGGCAATGCCACGCTGCGTATATTATCCCTGCTGATGGAGCACTGGAGCACCAAGCACAGGGTCGACTCCACAATAACCACTCGTTGAGCCGCTCTCTAGCCTAGTGGTGAACGGAGCTCAGTCCCACGTGGTTGACCGTGGTTGGAGCCGCAGCCTCAACAGCTTGAAAAACACGTCAGGCATGTGTGCATGTGTGCCCACAATCTCTACAGAAGGGAGAAATGGAGGAGAAGGGATTGCAGCACGACCGCATCCCACTGAGGGACACTTTGTCCCTTTCTGTCTCTCCCGCTTTCTCAGGAGAGAGCATGAGCCCATTGTCAATTAAAAAAAAAAAAAAAAAAAAAAGAGGGAACCCGCCGTTA